GCATCGGCAAGTTGAATGGTTAGTTGACTTTTGACCACGGCAGTTATGGAGCCTAAATATGGTTCTTCTGTGCCTAAAAAATTGGTTTTCGTAACTTAACGGCGACCGCTTCTGTTGTTGCTAACAGGCGCTGGTCCCATAGTTTAGGGTAGCTCGATGAGACCTTATAAGTCACACGAAAGAATTCACTGGGGGGCACAGGATGTCCGGAATCAACAACACGCGCGAGAACGACGTTTTTATGCTTTTAGTTCGACCTTTTCCAAGCTATGCCGGAGGAAGTTCTCGTAATCTTTTCGATAGGCGCCGATTCGTATGACCAATGTAACCTGATCTAACCACCTGTGTGTTTACGACTAACTTTAATTGATTTCTCTAATGACTGAGATGTTCTTCCTTCTCCCTCGTTTCCCTATAAATGGGCATACGAGAATTTCTCGAAAGCAAACGTATGCTGGCTAACTGCTGTTCTGAATACTGTCATGGGAATTTTCGCAACTCTGAATCAGTTTCATCTGGGAAATCGTCTCTAGAGTCGCCGCCGTATGAACTGAACGAAGAAACTACTGAAGCAATCATCATCTAATTATGCCACGACAATTTAAAACACATAAGACCTGGTAACAGGCTGTAGGTTTGGACGCAAATGCCCCATGGGGTCAAATGTGACTGAACTTGTCGCCCAAATCTCTCCATCTATGTCAGTTTAACTCCATAGCCTTTAAAATCGCACTGCAATTGAAGCGGCTAAATTGTTAAATTCTTTCGGTTTTAGTGTGGGTGTCAGAATATCATCTTATAAAAGAATTTTCCAACATTGGAGACTGATGTTGTGTTGTCTAGGTTTGAGAGGATGAAAGGTCAGGGCACCCACTTGTCGAGACGTGGCGCGTTTTCAAGTCATCAACTTCCAGCAGCATCCAGTAACCATTCCGGAAAACTCGAATGCGGTGGTAGTAGCCATCATCGACTTTCCTCCTGGTCTCCTTCACCGAAATTGGCCCGCCGCCCATGTTGTAGGTTAGGTTGACGTATCCTTCCTCCTGAAAAAAGTGCCGGGTAAATGTAGTTGATCAAAAATATTGTGGAAAAAACGCCTACTATATTATTTTTAAGTAATACTTTCCATACCACCATTAAATGCAGGAAGTCCACGCTCTCCTGGCTGGTATCTACGTAAAGTAGAGTCGACGTTTTCGCCACAGGTTCTAGCTGGATCCCCAACGCCAGTTCGTCACGGTTTGTATTTTGGCGGGAGTGAAGGTATGTAAATTGGATGAAGCAGTCTGTCCTTGTGTCGCTCGTCTCCCCGAATTTCAATGACGTGCCCGCTAAAAATCCGGAAGTAAAATAGACAAACTAAAGCGATTCCAACCTATAAATCGCCTGGAAGCAAAAAGCAGACTGTTCATGTGATAAAAGCTCTTATCGAAAGTCATCAGTATATGCACAGGCTTATCGGAATGACTATAACAGTTTAGGATTTTACTGGTGCCAGATGTACGACTGATATAGACGCAGGAATTCTGAAAACCCAATGATGAAATATTTCGTGTCTCTTCTGGGAAGGACAGTAGGAATTTGAAAAGTTTGATCGAGATGTATAAGCTGACAAAACTGAGCGGCCTATTTACACACTTAGATATACAATATAGATACAAAAAATATACATGGATGTAGATTATTGGAGGAGCTTTCGTTGAATGTTGGTATGCGTTTGAGCCTTTGGTTAATGACAAGGTGTACGTTAATGTGCGAAAGTGGCGTGTCTCAATACAATTCAGTCCATTCACCAAGTCTTTCTAAATATCGGTTTGTGCCAGTACACCATGAGCCCCCTAGCCCCAGGGTTGGGTTTAGTGTCAAGGCTAAGGTCATGCTTAGGATTAGTTCTGGAATTTCCGATTAAGGCTAGGTATTGCTTTCGAGTTAAGACTAGAGTTAGGCTGGGATTAGGGTCTAGGTTTGGGGTTATGGTTGAGCTTGGGGCCTGATTTATGGGTGGGATTAGGTTTAGGATTGGGTTTTGATTTGGAGTTTGGGTTAGGTTTAGGGCTCGGCTTATGGATAGGTTTGGGATTAGGTTTAAGGATACATTTAAAGTTGGAGTTTGGGTTAAAGTTAGTATTAGCGTCTCATTTAAGTTTGAGGAGTAATGAGTCGATCAGCCAGTTGCTCAATTAATGTGAATTGCCTGTTATGCAGAAAAAAAGATATACAGAACTTATAATATGGGAACGACTGGACAAGGCCTTGTATGGACATCGGATGCAAGTTAAATTACTCCTCACATAAACTAATATTCTGTCAAATAAATATGTCACTTCCTTTTTGGAATTTTTACACTACACCAGTGCCGTGAAGTTTGTCAGCCATGACTTAAATGCTCTCTGATACTCTTTAATAAATTCCTCCGAAAATTGGATTGCATGCCACCGCCAGCTAAAGTAACCTTTATCCCTGCAGTGCAGGCTAAAATTAAATTCCCACTTTAGGCAGGAGGTTCTCAGCGGGTAGGGTAAGACAGTTACATACAGAAATTCGAGAAAACCGACTCAGTCCAGGACGATTCACGAATCCGAGCGGTCATTTTTAGGAGTCTCACATCGTCAGTCTCCCTTCATCGAAAAGTCGACAGTGAATGAAAAATCATGTCATCCCTTATAGAGAATATTCGTTTTTCAGCTTCGAAAATAGTTGATCGGTCAAATGACCCAATCAGTCTGGATGTTTCGGCAGATGAACGATTTTTACTTTACAGCCTTCGTCAAATAGCCAGACGTTAGAGTGTTTTTGTGAACTCACATCCAAACAGTTGGCTATCTGTAAAACCCTCATTGTTTGAACACGGGAATTGATAGCCCCCGTATTACAGATGGCCTGGCGACAAATTCCAGAGAGTACCTATTCTCGTCCCCTAATTTCAATCCTTACCATAACGCTGACATTAACCCTAACTCTTAACCTAATCCTAGCCCAAACCCAGTGGGGAAGTTAGTGCAACACCATATTGGAAGGGGATTACGCATGCTACCGATGTACCCCCGTGATAGAAACGAAAGAGTCCCCTTAGAAGGCCTGACGATCGGATAAAACAATGCACTAGCGATATTGGCGACTATGCTGAAGAAGCCAGTTTGGGCTAATCCGCAATTGCGGACAATCCCTGTCAAACCATTGACCATAGCATACAACGATGTTTTACACGCATGAGAAAACCAGGGATGTGAGAGGGGAAGGAGGGGTTCATTAAGGTGACAGCGTGGTCAGAAGAGGAGAGGAAAGGGAGGGGGGCAGAAACCAAAGGTTTTGATGTTGAGAAAACCCCGGCTGCAAGGTAGTCAGACCAGATCAAGTTGACGGCCTTGCTGTATGGAACAGGCAAGAGCAAGCACTCACGGTTCGTCAGACCTAGGGAAGACTTGATTTTTTGTCACTTCGGGTCGTTCCTGCTTCTTCTACACTATTCGGGAACCTTCCTTGATGTCCGACTGATGATCAGAATCCAATTGGTAATTGAAATAGATGCTTCAGCTGGGCCTGGTTATGCCCTAACACAACCAGGACGAAAAGAGTCCACATAGCCCTTTGAATACACGCCTTATTGCCCGACCTCTGTAACCTGCTCCAGACGAACATGTAAATAAGTAACCACATATAGGTGAGGTCTGAGGAGACCGACCTTTATTGCCTTTCAGATGCAGAAGTAGACTACTGGTGTGATTCACTTGTTGTTAACAATTGTTATAGGTTGCATCCGCAGAATACTGTAGTACTCTTACTCCCGGCGTCGGCAGTGCATGGCAAAAGTCCAGTTTTGTCGTTGCTTAGTTCCGCCTCCATTGCCCGAAAGCTTGTGGAAGGTCGCCTCCTTCGAGCGGATTGGCTCCATTTCGAGTTCCGTCGGTTCACGTAAAGCACGAGTGGAAAAACTTTGCTGTCTGATTGGTAACCCCCGGTATTTGGGCCTGCATTGCACTAGCTCACGAGTGTGGGGAAAAAATATCCAACAGGGCTCAAAGAGACTATTTTTGGCAGACTTCAAAATAACTACTTCATTAGAGTAAACCCAAATGACATTAACTTCTACCACCACTACTACTACTCTTATTACTACTACTACTACTACTACTACTACTACTACTACTACTACTACTACTACCACCACTACTACTACTACTACTACTACTACCACTACTACTACTACTATTACTGCCACTATCGGAACTGTCACCATAGCTTGCACACGGTTCAAACTGCAGTCTACGGATCCTGCTGCAGTGGACGATCAGCAAAAAAACTCTTTTTGATCACAAAACCCTCCAACTTGAATTGTCTGTCCCTCAGATGTTTCTTGACAAGGAGTTCAGGGTATATATTTTTTCCCGAGGAAGTACCTATGAAGACAATCTTATATTCTAGATTTCTTCCGAAATACATGCACCAAACCGCATTTACTAAGCAGCTAACCAATCTTTGCTGTTTAGCCAATGTTACGGTCCAAACGACGCCCACTTTGTGAACCTTGACGTTGCATGAAATGACCACAATTTCCCATCCAGGTTTTCCGGCTAGAATGGAGTCTGCAAAGGTAGGCCAGTAGCCTACTATTATGACCCGCCTGGTACTTGAAATCCTGTGGAGCGTATGAGCACTCGACCATGTCTCCAATTCCAACGCGGTAGAGAAGGAGAACGCGACCGGCCACGAAAATGTGTATTAGAAAATTGCAAGTCAAAATTAACTGGAAGTAACGCATATTTATAACGCCCTACTGTGCTTCGCCGGCGTTCGGCCCAATGCCCTTCGGGAAGAACATTCGAGACGAGCCGGTCGATAATTCGAATATGCTGATCGATCAGGCCCGAGAAGAAAAGCCAATGGAGAGGCGCCACGATTAAGATGACAGCGCAGTAGAGAAAACGCACGTGGCCTCCCGTGATTGGCTGGCTCTTGTTTTTGGGAGTGTAGGCTCTCCCGACACCTCCCCTCCAAGTAAGTCAGTACCGCTTCTGGCGTGGACTGATCTGCATCGGCAGTGTTGATCGGCGCACGCGGTTGGTCCGGCGTCTTAGTCGTGGTTTAATGCCTGGAGATACGGGAGCGGTAACTGATACCGAAGATGGTATATCCGAAGGGGGCGCAGAAGTGGATTCGGGAACCGACTGATCTGCCGGAATGGCGAAGATATCCAGTAGGATGTCGAGAGAGAGTGACGGCGCCGAATCGAGCCCAGTTGTGTTACTGCAATGTCGCCGTCGGATCTGGTTGTGGTGGCGAACCCAGATGTCATCACCAACGTCGACGTCAAACAACATACTGCCTCTGTGCGATACTACGGTTGCTTCAATCCAGTCTGGGAACCCCGCTCGATAATCACGAACGAAGACAGGTGTTCCGATGAAGAGCTTGCTGCGAGAAACTGGAGAAGTCTGCGCGGGCTGCGCACCGGTAGGGACGAGGGCATGAAACGTTGTACGCAGTTTTCGGCCCATCAACGCTTCGGCAGGAGAAACGCCACCAGGGGACGCCGGGTTCGGTGTCGTCCTGTAGGAAAACAGGAACGCCTGGACTATCTCGTCCGTGGTCCCCTCCCCACGAGCTTTCAAAAGGGCTCTCTTAAAAGTGTCGACAAAACGCTCCGCCTGACCGTTAGACTGAGGATGGTAGGGCGGGGAGCGAAAATGCTGGATGTTGTGCTGGCGGCAGAAATCTTCAAACGTCGACGAGATAAACTGAGAACCATTATCTGAAACCAGGACTTCTGGTAAGCCATGCTGGCTAAAGATGCGTCGTAGGAAGGCGATAGTGGAAGATGCGGTTGCTGGATTCAGCGGAGCAACCTCGGGCCATTTCGGGTAGTCGTCAACCAAGATTAGGTAGGAGACTCCGTTAAGTGGGCCAGCGAAGTCGATATGCACGCGTGACCAAGGCCTCTCCGGTGGTTCCCAGTGTACTGGCGGTTGACGAGGCGGCATCTTGGCAGCTTGCTGACATCGAGAACAGCGTCGAACCAGGTCGTCGATGTCGCCGTCGATACCCGGCCAGTAATTAAAACTGCGAGCAATTGACTTCATTCGGCTGGTACCAGGATGAGCGGCATGGAACTGGCGTAGTACAGTGGGTCGGAGGGAAGATGGGATCACCACACGGTCTGCAAACGTGAGGCAGGAGTCAACCACAGATAGCGATGCTCGGCGGAGGAAGAGCTGACGAAGATCACCAGCAAGAACAGTGGTTGGCCAGCAGGTCTGCACGTAGGTGATGGCCTGACGGAGGACAGGATCCTGTTCAGTGGCACGTCGGATGTCCGCGGCAGTGACAGGGATACCTCGTATGGCGTCTGATAACTGACGGCGCACATCGTCCTTAATCGAAATATCGGCAATCACGGTATCTTCCTCCGGTTCCTGCTGACTGCTGGTGAGGCGAGAAAGGGCGTCAGCCTGACCAAAGTCTGTAGTACGACAGTAGCAAATGTCGAAATCGTAGCCAAGAAGGATAGTTGCCCATCGCTGAAGTCGGCTGGCTGAGTAGACGGGAATGCCCTTCTTCGAACCGAAGATTGACAGCAATGGTTTGTGATCCGTCAATAACGTGAAGTGGCGACAGTACAACAGTTTGTGAAATTTCTTGACGGCAAACACGAGGGCTAGAGCTTCTTTCTCTATTTGCCCATAGTTCTTCTCCGCAGGGGTTAGCGTGCGAGATGCATGCATGATCGCCTTTTTAGACCCATCAGTAAAAGTATGTGAGATGACGGCACCAACTCCGTGGTTGGAAGCATCTGCAGTAACAACGATCGGCAGCGTCGGGTCGTAGTGCGTGAGCAGCAGATCTGAACTCAGCATCGACTTTAGCTGGGCGAAGGCCTTTTCACAGTCGGGGGACCAGCACCAAGGAGCATCCTTCTGCAACAGACGGTTGAGCGGGGCCCGTACGTCATGCAGCGATGGTAGGAAGGCGCTATAGTAACTGATCAGGCCAAGGAACGAACGAAGTTGCGATACATTCTTGGGTGCAGGCATCCGTTGGATGGCCCGAATGCTTTCAGGATCTGGATGGTGACCAGTGACGTCAAAAACGAATCCAAGGCACTTGATGGAGTCGAGGAAGAATTGGCACTTGTTGGCGCGTAGGCGAAAGCCATATTCCTGCACGCGTTCGAGTACTGCGCACACTCGGTCTTGCAGCTTGGCAGGGGAGCGACCCACGATGATGATGTCGTCCAGGTACCCAGCTGTGCCAGGGATGCCGGAGAGCATTTCGTTCATCGTTTGTTGGAATAGGGCCGGGGCGGTCTTGACACCAAAGGGCAGCCTGGTGTATTGGAACAGACCGCGGTGGGTATTGATGGTCAACAATTCGCGCGACTCTGGGGCGACCTCGATCTGCAGATCTGTCCGGGCATGCATTAGCAGTTGTTGTTTTTGAATTGGGCTACAGTCAGTCCACAGTGACCGGAGACACTCGTAACGGACATCTAGGTCAACATGGCCGCCAGCTGCTCGAGTCATGGCGGTTGATGCCGTCCGTACCGAAATACCAAGCCTCAGGACGTGCCGAAAGGAGAAGGCTCATAGGGAAAACAGAGCTAGGATCGCAACTTTTCAAGCCTGTCACATCAACCCCTCAACAGACGAAATGCGTAGTGAGGAGGAAAGATTATCGCAATTGGGTGTTGGGGGGGGGGACACAAACTACGTCCATAAAAGAGACATCGGTGGGAGGGAAAGTGGACATCGTGTTGGGCCGTGTGTGCCAATCAAAACACGATGTCTACCTCCATCCAACGGACGTCAGTCTATCTTTTCAGCCTCTGTACTCCCAAAACTAGTTCGATAATCTCACCTTCTACTTCTCATTCCGCGTCGGTGCAATCAGCTAAAATGGCAACTTACACGACTTTACTTTCTCCACTAGCCTTTCCCTTCCATTTCATCACCTCGAAATGCACATTACCAAAGTTATTCAATATATGCATCAAAACGGGCCACGTGTTAGATACGCTGGACCAACACGGGGGCCACATCGGACTCTGGCAGGCGTTATCTCTGCGCAATAACAAATGCCAACATTTGCGGGGTGCGCTGGCGGACCCTGTTGTCGGCATTCGTCGCACAACTGGACCACTGCCTCCACCCCATTGTTTTGTGGTCAAAATCCTGGTCATTGGTGTGTGGACCAGGGGTGCGGAGTGGAGCGCCAAGGCGAAGATCCGTCCGAGCCATCCACCTGCGGCCTCCCCCGTCTCCGGTCTTCTTGACTTGGTCTTGACACCGGGCCCAGGCGGGGAAGGAGGAGAGAGTGTAGGTAGGTGCTACGCAAGTCTACTGGCACTATAAACCCCTGCGTAAGTCACCGTCCCTGCTCCCACAATGCAGTCTGTGGGGCACACGGTGGTCATCGTCGAAATCGACGGACGAACTGTCGGCAAGTAAAATTGACAGTTTTGCCATTAAAAAAAGACTGAAAGTTTGTTCCACTGAGACCGCATCCCTTCGCTTTGGACTGAATTGACTTTCCTTAATATTGTGTGGGTGTGCTTGTGTGTTCGGGGGTGCGATGGCGGACCCAGTTTCCGGCTGACGCCACGCACATTGAGACCCCTGTCGCGCCCTATTGTTGTTGTTGATTAAAAACCTGGTCATTTGCTGTGTAGGCCATGGGGTGTGGAATTGAGCGCCATGGTGCGGATTCGGCCGTGCCATTCACCTGCGCCCTCCCCCCCCGCCTCCGGTCTTCGTGACTCTGCGTTGACACCGGATCCAGTGGGGGAACAGAAAGTGCGGTAAATACTGCGGAAGTCCACTATCACCATAAATTAATTCACGCGCAAGTCATCGTGCCTGCTGCACCTGACTGTGTTGCAGAACGTGGACATCATCGGAATCGACGTTCGAACTCTCGTGTGTGTATATATTAAAGGGAAAGAACGCAGTAGCTATCGGTAGTAGAGGTCCATTTTAGTAAATCTCTAAAATCTCAGCTTGCTATTATGTTAGCTAACGCGATCGGACACGGATTTACGATCACACCGATAACCTTCCCAGACGTGGTCTGTTCCTTTTTCGTGTAAAAGAGGCTTTAGGGACATGTGCTAAATTTAGCAGTTAAATCTTCTTTGATCCATGATATTTTAAAAGGCAACCATAGACGTTTACTGTAGAGTCCTTACCCGTTGGGCGTTTGGAACAGTTAGCCTTGGGTCAGCCAACGGCCGTCGTCACTTAGACAGCGTAACTTTTTTCACCCAAAATATTTGTTTTGACTGCCCAGGCCCGGAACGCTGTTTGTATATAAACTGGTAGACTGATTTATACTAGAATAGACAGTCTTTATGGTCCTCTCTAACTGCTAGAGAATCCATCGAGCGCTCATAAAGCACTGACTCATATGCTATCTGGATGATTTAAACGCTTGCCGCAGCTTCTGTATCTATATACAGTGAATATGCACATGCAACTTTTAAAAATCGGAGAGCATATTCACAGAAACCGAATATAACTCGTGCTTCAAGAGAAGAGCCTTTCAATTTCCCTCAGTGACATAAATGGCCCACAGGGCGTGCGAATTGCCAACGCTTGGCTAATATTTAATTGCGAGCGTCTGTGTTTCCGAAATGTATTCACTTAGAAAGGATCCTGAACATGTGAAAAATATCTTATTCTACTGTCGTTCGTCTAGAGGACTGGTTATTGTGCCTTTATTGACATTAAGCATAAGAAGGGTTTGAGTATTATACAAATGGCTAAAAAATTCTGGTAGCCAGGAATGTGGAAGCGGACGGCACGACCCCTGTCTTAGCTTAACGGTAACTTAACTCTAACCGTATTTCTTAAGCCTAACCGTAGCCCTTAGACGTAGCCCTCTCTCTAAAACCTAACCTTAATACTGAAACCCAATCTTAAACGCAAATCCTAACCGTAACCCCGAAACCTAAACCTGAAGTCCTAACCCTAACCCGGAAATCGGAAACCATTAACCGAAACCCTAATCCTAACTTCTAACGTAAAGCGGAAACCAAATTTCCCAAACCTTAACCCAGAAAACCATTACACTAACCCTAAATCCAAACCCCAACCCTAAGGCCAAACCATAATCGTAAACGTAAACCATAACCCTTACATAGAAACGCCGAACTCTAACCCTCACTAAACCCATCAACCTGACCGAAACGGGCGACCTACCAAATGCAGTAGAAGCCCACCTCAGACAAGTTAAGCACACCTACTGATAACAAGTATGTCCGTCGACAGTATCAGCTTATAATGCCTGGCTACCAACTGCGATCTTACCAAAATTCTGCAGTAAGAACTCTGGTTCAAGTTCGTAAATCAATCGTCTGCTGCGCGCACGTCTATGCTAAAGACGTACGTTTAGAAACAGTGAGCTTCCATGATGCCACTTTTTCTTCCAGAGCAAAATGTATGACCGTTTTGTCCGCCTCGGCACAAAAAACATTCTAGAGGACAACTGAAATTGTGGAATAAAAATCCGCCCCTGGAAAGGCCTACATTCATTGGTATTTCCCTACTTCCTGCTAGAGTAATAAGTCACTTTGATTAGTTATCCGTCCGTAAAAATATTTCTGAAAAGTTGACTGGAATACCTCCAGATTGTCATCTCTCTGAAATACGCCAAAGCGTTGTGTAACACCAGCGCTCGACAGAAGTTTACCTCTAATTATTTGGCCTACTATGAATTTCTTATTTTCCGCCGAGATTATTCCTAGTCACTGGTATTGAGCCGACTCGTGAATGCCGGCTCATTTAAGTAGCATTTGCATGTTTTGTATATGCTGCCTTGTTCATGAGTAAGTTGACGGCGGATACTAAACAAACTAACTGCTGGCAAGGCCGTGAAACGGAATTTTTTACAATCATACGATTCTAGTGCTTTGAAGGCAGGACTACTAAAATGGAATTTCGCATACTTTATAGCAGATGATTGGCCAGTAAATTTGTATAGCAAATAAGTTGAAGTGCTCAAAAGTTGTAATACACGGACGGGCTGTTGGAGGTAATTCACAACTAAGCTATTAGGTCCAAACAGCCACCGTTGCCTCGAGTATCTCTAACGTCGGAAATATTAATAGCCTTTTCTCTAACGGCAAACAGAAGAACACCGACAGGACTCTGATACGTTCTGTGCCTTGGTTTTTTGCGAATAAAAGTCGATCGGAAAATGGTAGAAGCACTTACGGAGATGGCACCGTTTTCCAGTGAAAGTAGTCAGTTCGCAGGCACAACGCAATGAAGTCCAGACTTGAAGACAGACACCATCGTTGAGACAGTAGGGGAGGTCGTGGCTTCCGTTGCTGTAATCTCTCCGTTTCTTATCCTGGTTACAAGAAGGAGCAGTCACAGGACGCTGGAAACAACCCGGCACCACCTGCCACTGACAGTCGGGCGTTGTTTTGTTCGATCCAAATTTTGACTCAGCCAATCCGAAGATGTCAATTTCGGTGTTATTATTGATGCCGAAATTTCCAATGCAACCCTAAATAAGCAGGGCATCTGAGGCATGACAGAATACGGAGTGGGGATTTAAATACCACAGTGAACCCAGATGTAATGGCCAAAAAAGCAGAATTTCTTTGAGCGCTGTGCGGAGGCTGTATTTTCTGGCCACAGCAAGGCGCGCTCAAGCATGGGCAAACAGATGATATCGTATAATGTAGGGTTTCATAAAACAGAGAACATGCGCATCGCACCCTAATTAGAGAATTTTATGTGAATCTCCGGGAGATGGAAGAATGGGACGGTGCATTAATTGGCGTTTTCGGACTAGAACATAAGACAATTGAAATTGTTATTTGGAATTAACTACCCAGTTATGTGAGGAATCCGCAAAAACGATTACTCTATTTTTGCATCCAGAAAAATCCACAAATTTTGGGTGCTGAATCCATCGATAGACTGCACCGTAGCGACGGCGTTTGTGGTCATTGAGCTCTATGGCCGGTCTCATCAGAGACGATTTCTTTAGCCAACAGTAACAGCTGTTCTTCGGCGCTTCTATTCGGACCAGCCCCAACTTCATGAAAAGAATTGGCGACTGATACTATCCGAAGCAGTGCTACATCTCCCTTTCTTGACTATCGGCATTTCATGGTCAGCAGTTTTTTCTCTCTAACCTGTAAAAAGCCACCATTCACTTTATTTTTATCTCCTTTTGAAAGGATTTTTTTCCTTGCTGGCCGGATTTTTGTTTTGCGCTTGCCTCAAAATGCCTGTAAACTGGTGGTAAGTACAAGTATTATCATTATTATTAATGTCCAGTTTCGAGAACCAAAACTGAAAAATTAGGCTGTTTTAGTAATGTTTTATCACGCTGTCGTGGTTTTTGTCCTCGGTAGAGAGAGAGCAAGGGGCGGATAAGTCAGAAGTAGACCGGTATGTCGGCTGACAAAAACGCTGCGTCGGCGGTCAAATCCTTGAGTTGCTCTCAGGTTGTTCACGCACTTCCACCTAAGACATTACGTTTGTGTCCACTAGGCCAAGTCATTGAGATTTATCCTTGGCGTGAGTAGAGATGTGGGACACTCGCCGAGAAGGAGACACGATCTGGGACACCGCCATCTCATCGTCAGACGGTGCTGCCCATTCCCTGCCGAGACTCAAACGTCGACGGGCTGAAGTAGGTTTAAATGCTCAATCATTTATGAGTTTCCTCCTCCTCATCTCTCATGACCTCCTGTATGGATTCAAAAGGTCGTAAAGTGTAGATTCTCGGCATTTCTTCTGCTATCCAATCGAGATCCCAGGTATTACTTTTCACTCGGTTTTATACTAATTTGGGGCATTGTGTACCAGACATATCTGCGATCATGAATAGTCCAGTGCATTTTCACCTACACGCGAATCGATCCGCGCCAGCAGATCTGGACAGCGCAAACCACAACGGGGACCGAATACCGAAGATCCAAAGACCACTTTCATATCTTGCCGAACTGTACGGTGCTATGTTCTGAGTTGATCTCCTCATCGATGCCTCCAGATGGCAACGATGCTGGAACACTGACCTCATGAAGCTGACGACGAAGTACGTGCTCAAATCTACCCAGATGTTTCTACAATGTCGCAGCCGGCGCGGACTGTTTTATCTGTGCCGAAGTAGGTGTATTCCACTCGAAGAATATTTCTCCAGGACTGTGTGAACCCAACGAGGTCTTTCGCATGAGTGACGATGATGTACAGAGGCGACCACAATTAGATTACGGAAGCCAGTTCTATTAGCACAGTGTAACGTCGTGCAGATTCTGAGCTTACCACTATCAAAAGACAAGTAACTGAATAATTTTGTGGGAATTTTCATGCCTCCCCGACACTTGGCACCCTAGTCCTCTTCTCATTTACGCTGACCATCCTTAATCACCAGCAGATACTGTTTCTAATTATCCTCTCACATTCGACATCTCTTACATAGTCGGAACAGCAACAAAAACTAGATTTACATAATTATTCACATGTTTTATTTCACCCGATAAAGTGTGCCGAAAGCAAATAAATATTTTCCAGGGTATCTCAGTCAGAATTTCGACTCATTAAAATTATATCTACTGCCAATAAGTATAGTAGGTGGGCTAACTCATGAAATGTTAACCGAAATTCCCAAATGTGTTTTCGTTTCGAAAGGATTACTTAAGTAGGGATAAAAAACTAGTCAGCCTGAAACAAAATTCTATAATGATTCCATTATTACAGGATGCCGGCTTTCGAATGAATTTCCTTCAGACTGCATGCAAAAACTACACTCTGTAAAAATGACTACTTACGCAACATGAATTTTTCTCATTGATTTTCTATGCCCTTAAATGTCCAATTATACTTCATGGAAATCATGCATAAAATATTCGCTCTTTTGCTCATTCCGCGGATCATTACATCTTCTTCTATTTTTATACTCGGAGGGACATAATTCCGTTTTCAAAATTTTTTCCAATTCCTGAATAATATTGAGCCTCCTCTACCGTTACACTTGGATTCAGGGTTTCCAAATCACAAGTCGTATATTTTCAGCGTACGGAAAACCACACGTTTCTCTATGGTTAAAAAGGGGGACCATAGAGTGTTCATAAAATTTAGCAGTGGATTTGATCCATATTGTTAACTATACAAGCAACATGGGTAAATGCTGAGACATGACGATTTATGAACGGCCATTTCACGGTATTAAAAGTCTCAAAATTAGAAATTTTTTTAACTGAATTTTGTCCATCCTTCAAGTATAAATTTAGAAAAAGACGTAATTATTTAATGAATGAGCAAGAGAGCGAATATTATGTGCATGTTTTCCATGAAATACAATTGCACATTTTAGGGCATCGAAAATCAATGAGAAAAATGCATGCTGCGTAAGTAATCGTTTTTACAGAATTGGGTTTTTGCATGCAGATTGAAGGACGCTCAATCGAAAGCCGGCATCGTGAGGTAATTGAATCATTATATAATTATCTTTAAGGCTGACTAGTTTCACAACCCTACTGAATTAATCTTTCGAAAAGAATACGCGTTTGGGAATTTCGGTTAACATTTCATGAGTTAGCCCACCTACTGTAAGTGGCAAACAAACATTGAAGCCACGCTGACAAGCGCACTTCTGTTCCTGTTAGATAGGTGCCAGGTTAAGTGAAATATGCAAAACATTATCAAGGGCCGGTTGTGGCCGACGCCGAGTGTTATTGTGGGAAAGGGACTATGGGAAATTACCCAGAGAAGGCCAGATGAAAATAGTTTAAAGTAAAAGTACAACTCTAACGGATGTCTCCTCTAAGTGCTTCAGTGAAAACTCATCCTCTTTTGCCCAAATAATGCAAAACGCGGTTGCCGAAAAAACACATTTAATCTTAAGGTGGGTTGTAATAGTCTAGTTATTTTCTGAACATGATTTCATCGATGCAGAGGTATTGGACAACTGCTGTTTGAACAGACTTCACAGATGATCTTTATTGATTCAACTGTTAGTGTTAAAGGAATTGCTATTTCCAGTTGGAGTAATGTGATTCGAACAAAGAAGCTTCTATGGGAACAGATAAATTTGAATCAGGATGTAACTTCCATCAGAGTGAGTTGTCATTTCACGATATAAATATGATATCATGTTCTCGTGCTCAAGAGGGAGTGAGACTGAAATATCGATTTCCCGCTTATTCGTGGTTCCCATTAGGCCACATATTTACTCATCGCTTTAAAAGGCGTGGTTGTCTGATAAAATAAAAATAACTTAAGAGTTGACATTTCTATGTTGTACTGTTCGCTTTTTCCCTCAAAGCGTCTGGCCCTACGTAAAAAGCAAACATGTGGAGGCCGGATTTCCAACTGCAATCTGGTCAAATCACTAAACGCTTTGCTGACATGACAATCGTGTACGCTCCAAGCTGCATCAACTACCAGCTGGGCAGGTGACTAATTGTCGCTTTTCCAGTAATTCTCCCCTCACTGCCTAAGTATGACCATCGTTCATGTTTCTCTGCTATTGACTAGGGTCGTTACCAAGTATTCATAATTCTATATTTTGGACTTTCCTAAACTAATAAAGAAGAGCCCGGTCATCAGCCATTCAACCGATGGTCCAGCGGTACCGGCTTGATACGTTACGATGATATTTTTAATTTTTTCTTTAGCAGTCTTATGGAAGATCAGCTGATTGTGATCTCTAATACACCTCCAAGAGATCGTCTTCTAAATTCCAGTTAGCTTGGCTTGCGTCCGTTCCAATATGCAGCTTGGTGGAGCAGGTCGTATAAGATGCTACTAGCTGGTGTTTCCAAAGATCCATTAGTAGTTGACAGCAACATCCACGAACCTGGATACCGTGTTTCGAAATCATCTTCTCTCGCCGCCGCGCTACGTTCTGCACAGGAATGCCACCCAGGTAGAGAGGTTCGTAGAAATTGAAATTTCGCGCCCGGTCGCGGTAGGGTATGGTGATGTTGAACAGTCTGGGCGGCCCCGACTCCTCCTCTATGCTCAGTGTCAGGAAGGTGTCCGTCACATCCGTCCTGGACAAAATAAGAGGATTGTGAAAATTTCCATGGCTATATTCAGCAGTAACGGTGGCGAGCGAGCGCTGTTTTCTATAGCTTCTCTTCAGGCCAGTATAGTTATATGGGACGGGGTACAGTGAGTGAATAACTCGGTAAAAGTTAGTTTTTTTAAAATACAGGCAAGGCAAGAGCGGAAGGGCGCAGAAAGTTGTATGCGGTTAGTCTACCTTTGGAGACGGTAAGCGGGGAGCCTGAATGAGGTTCCTCTGGGCGCATCGGGTCGGTTTTCGTATCCTAATGGCGACCGCTTCTGTTGTTACTAACAGGCGCTGGCCAAGTAGCTTAGGGTAGCTCGAGGGGACCTTATAACTCACACGAAATGCTTCAGCGGGGTCCACGCGATGCTCTGAATCCACTGCATGCGCAAGGATGGCGCTGTCTGTTCTCCTAGTTTCATCTCAGACCGCCTCAATGTGCATTTACTAATTCATTTGCCCCTGCGGAGCAGGTATATAGGTCGTAGGAGTCGGCGATAAAATGAGAGAATATGAACGCACATACTTCAGCGTCGTTGAGAACGGAACAATGTTTCTGGGGATAATCCGTACTTTATGAATCACTCCTTGATCAAACTTTCTACCTATAATACATGATGACTAAAGTGTGGTTTAGTGAATCCCAAGTCATAACGTTTCTGCAGATGCCCAAAAGGATACCGGAAATCAGAGTGGAAGGCTGAGTAGATCTACTGGGGAGCCGAAACTTTTAACAACAGCCAACTGGCAAAACAAGTGTCAAGATTTGTGACTACTACAGGAGTCCAAATGGTAAGAGTATGGTCTATGGCTGGGGTTACCTAGCCCGGAGAACAACTGTGCAAAAAGAAAATAACTGACGAAAAAAGACACAAAAAGACCTCGCGGTGCCTGTTGCGCAAGGGTAGTAAAAAGACTTTACGGTAGTCAACGGAGTATTATTAGACGTTAAAAGTAGTGTCCCCTTTTAATAAGTGGCAATAATGAGGATCTCAATGCCACAAAGAGTTGACCAAATGGTTAGCGGCAACTGAGGTAAATAAACCCCAGCCACCTGTAAGACGTGAACGGTGGGGCCGGGGAACGCACGGGCGACGATGTCAAGTAGTTGTATGCAAAGGAAAAGCTACTGGGAATGCGTGGCTGTACTTTGACTGGTTGCCCTAACCCAAAACCCTTACTCTAACCCCTAAGCCCTGTAGCGGGCAGCCATCATAACCGGTCTGGCGTCATTGTTCAAGACCTCGCTGCCCCAAGCGTATTCGCCCCTTTGCAGTGAGCCGGTCCAGACGCGCTGACTTGAAGTCACACGACGGACAGCTGGGGCATACCTGCGTTCACACAGTCGCAGCTGCCCATGCGGCCACTTGAACGCACCTGCCCCCTGCAACCACAAACTAAGCTATTGGGACACCACCCCTCGACAAATGCAACACACACGGACTGGACACCACTTGAGCTTGGCCCACGGGCGGCTGCTGCCACTATCTCAGGGACTCTCAGGCATGATTGGACGCAGTCAATGCCAGCCCTGGCTTCGCCAGTGGCCACTGTCGCCTGAGGCTGCTCGAACGCACCTCCCCCTACAACCGCAACCTAAGCCACTGGGACACCACCCCTCGGCAAATGCAACACACACGGACTGGACACCACTTGGGCTTGCCCACGAGCCTACAAAACGGGCTGCCACCACTATCTCAAGGACTCTCAGGCCTGACTGGACGCAGTCAAAACCAGCACTGGCTTCGCCAGCGGCCACTGCCGCCTGAGAGGAAAATTCCGGGTTCTGTTCACAATAAAACCCCTAATTCTGGTGCCCTCTTTCTCCTCCATCCAATCTGGGATTTGCCTTGATAAATGTAGCTCAGATGCTGCACCCCTCACACACATCCCTAACCCTAACCTTTAACCGCAGCCCTAAATCCTGAACCTGCGAAAATTAGAAGGAGAAGACAGGCCGAAAGTCAGGAAGGACCACCGGAATTGGGCCAAAAAGGTAGACAGCGCAACAAAGAAACAAGGTCGCCAACCGAGCACACACCGCAACACACAGTAACACCACGCCGACGTAAACACACTAAGTGAAAATAATTAAGTCTGCTAACAGTATTATGTTCATCAGATGCGGCTACATAATCACATCTTACCACACAGTTCTTAGATGTTCAGCTCTTCTGCTCGACACAAATGCCACCTCAAATAAGTAGCCGCGGCCATAAACAATAGCCTGGCCGTCCAAATCACTACTATTTTGTCAACATAGGCAGACAGCAGCTGACTTAAAATTTAAGCCTGACACGAAGATAATAGCGTAGAGAGAACTAACAAAGCATCATACGCATTTTCCACCCTACCGGGTGATTGATCTGACATACCTGTACAGACGAATATGGTGCCACTGCCCATCACTCATGACGACATCTCCAACCGTCTGCTGATGGACTCCGTGACCCATGTCGAACGACAGAGCTAGATTGCCCTGAACCAGTTCCAGTGCAAGAAAATCTCCAGTTTCACCGGCAGAGTTAAAGAGTATGATACCATCTGTCTGGCGTGTATTAATGCTGAACTGCAGCGAGAATGCGTCATACAACTTCAGGGTTGGTAGAACGAGGAAACAGTCGGCAGTTTTGAAGGTGACTGGATGCACAACTGAGAGGAGATCGGAGAGCACGTGCTTTGAAGAGCGTCCACCGACGCCGCCAGGAGAGGCGGTCTGTGGGAGGAGGGATTTAAGACCCCCGGAAACAGAAGCAGTGGCTTCGAGGATGTAGTCCTTGCCTCCTCCCCCCTCGTCCTCTTCAAAGGGGCGTATGCCATTGAAAACGAACCGACGCATTTGGCCAACAAAGGGAGTCGGTGGTGATGGAGCCTCTCCTGACGGTTCACTCTGCTCCATCACCCTGGAGGAACCCATCTCCACCTCGCGGATACGCATGATGAAGGATTGGGCCTCAATGTCTGGTTAAAAAGGAAGTCAACCTTCATTAGTTTAGTGTGTGAAGTGAATACCAAAGTGCGGGCTAGACTGTGCTGTCTACCTGCGCCATCCTCGGCCTCCGGTCTTCTTGACTCTGTCTTAAGACTGAATTCAGGCGGGCGAGAGAGTGCGGTAGATGCAGCGCAAGTCGATAGCGATGACCGAACAGTTAGGTGAGTGTGTTGAAGTACAAACTTTAGTAGGTCAGACGAGACTCCCTACTTGCGTGGCCATTCCAGAATAATAACCTGGTGCCTTAATTCGCAAGTCCTGACAGGGCCTCTTGGAGTCTAATGCGGCTGACAATATGAAATCTACGTTTTGAAATAACTGCCGTCTTTTAGGGCGGTCAGGGATTTAGGAACAAATCTTAGAAACATCTCTGAAAAGGGAAAGTGCGTTGGAGCTACGTTTTTACGACCAGGTCACAAGGCAGGCTTTGCAATTACACCCAGGAGATTAATCCAGAACCCTCGCGCGATGTCGCAAAGCGACTAGAGAATTACAGTGTGGCATAATATAAATGGTAAAAGTCCTAATTTTTAAGGTGAATCGTGAAATAAAATTTGAAATAGAATGTGGTATTTCGGCGTGGACAGTAAATGAAGTAATGGGGAGCATAATTCGAAGCCGACTTTTAATTAATTTTAATGTCAAATGCTCGCCTCACGCAACAACTCATTACTAAATAAGGGTTTATTGTTTTACTGGATTTTAAATTGCATTGTTGAAAAATGTGTCAAAAAGTAGGTTTAGTCGGAAACTGCTCTACCTAAAAAGGATGACTTGGTTTCGCAAATGTTCCTTAATGTCTAAACAGTCCAGAATATAACCGGATTTTCTATTCTTCGAATGGCTTCGAAGTTAGATGCTAGGCATTTTCTTCGAAATGATTTGAGATATTTTCCCACATTGCTATAAAGAGACCTCTTAGTTGTAACTACATATTGTGACGTGTGCGAATTGCGTTTTTGAGGAATAATTATAAACCCATGAAAAGCACGGTGGTCCGATATTGCACAAGTTGTCACTATCTTTTCAGATTGTCCTTATTTGATAAACCAACGGCCATCGATAGCACTCGATACCTAAAAACCATCTAAATGCACAGCTGTAAGGATACAACGTTATTTTATCCATATCACACGCACGTCAAGCAACGTTCTGAATTATTCGTTACTACAACTGAAAACATTAGAAGCTCGAAGATGGATAACCGAATTGCGCAGCCAAGCTGCAGTAAATAGAACAAAATTTTGTTTAATCGAACGGAGGGTGCTCCTCTCTCTCATATGCATACAGGAACGTCACTTTGCGGTAACAGGTCGAGACTACTTATTCTGCGTAGTTGTGCATATCAGGCATAAGGAAAGCAGTCTCGATAAAGGAAGAATTATATATACCTACAGCTGCTGTTCAAAAAATGCTAAACATTTCCCAAGCCGGTGCGATTAGGCGGGCCGTGGGGGGTGATGAGCTTATCGAAGTTGGTGTCACGCAGTGAATTCCCGAGGAAATTTGGTTCAGATTAAAACCATTCATCTTTGGAAAAGGCAAATAAACCCAACCACTGTGTTCACCTACCTCCTATTTTACTGAATTCAGGAAAACGCAAACAGTTGTTATCAGTAGGTCCCTTTTTGAGTCTGAGACGCATGATTTATTTGTTGAAATTTTACTAGACCGGAAATGAAACCGGATGTGATCAGGGGACACAGCACAACGTTTAAACAACAGGGTGCAGAAGTGCGTAGGTGTTCTGCATGCAAGAGATAAAATTAAAAGCTGCAAATATTGAGTAGTTAAGGCAAAAGACGAATCTACCTGCCGGATGGACCACAGGACCTCCGAGGTCAACTAGAACAAATGCGGTCCGGTGTCCTCTGTCGAAGTCATCATTCTTCCCCTGTCTTCCTTTAGTCCTAGGAAGTCCTGAAGTCGATGACATTGTCACGCGGTAGACAGTTTCAAGATAATGCATGAGGAAAAAACAAATCATCATGTGAGCAAATATTGCAAATGCAGATTTTTCTGCCATTTTTGTGTAAAGCCCTCTGCGGGGATGCGTATGTGACCTGTCTGTTTTACCCGAAACACCCTTGAGACCAGACGGCAGTAGATCGTCCTGTAAACGTAGCAACTGTCACAGGAAACTCCTTGAAAAAAACACCGATCCTATCGGCAGCAGTGGGAAAACATAACCTCCCGTTTGGAATGGTGAACTGGCGGTCACCCAGCCCGCATACTGACGTAACGCCTAAGTTTGCAGCCATAGACAGGGAACCAAAACTACCCGGCCAAGGGGCACGTAAGAGTCAACATCCGTGCACGAACGTGGGGATGCTTTGCAGGTTCAGTTATGGCACCTGTTGACACAGTCCCTCAGGCCCTCCAAATGATGTTATGCTAAATACCATACCAAATAACGTCCACAAAACCGCCGGTCTAAAGGGTCACAGAGTGCACTACTGATCCAACGCCCATCACATTCTTTGATGAGGCTGATTTATGGAGAAGAGAGGGAGAGACATTTGGTATTGAAGCTGCTGCCACATGAGTAAGCATTCGAGGGGTTAGATTAGCCTTGATAGAGCGCCGCGTCTCGACAGGATGTTGTGACTACGACATGTCTCCATGTCGGGTCCCAGCATACGTTGTTTTTGTGTTAAGCGGAGTGCTGGACACTGAGGCGGGCATAGAGGCAGCCAAATGTCTGACTAACCTTTGAAAGTGTGACGACGAGACACTGACACAAGCAGTCTGTCCTCCCTGGCCGATTCCAGGCGGTGATCGTACGTCGTCCCGACGCCCTGAGCGCAGTCACACGCACTTACAGCGCTCACAATCTAACCGGTACCCCTCTCCCACCCCAACTCCACTGTCATCAACCCGCTGACTCCGTTATGCGGGCGACGTGGAAACATGTAGTCCGAGTAACCCTGCCGGAGACGCATTTATATCCTGTCTTCAATTAGA